GCTACAGAAACCCTACCAACTTCTCAAAATCCCAGCACAGTAAATGTCCCATCAACTTCTCAGAAACCCAACACAATAAGTTCTTCAGGTACTAGAGCCCTACCAACTCCTGAGAAACCTACCACTGTAAATGTTCCAGGTACAAAAGCCCTACCAACTCCTCAGAAATCCACCAAAATAAATTCTTCAACTACAAAGTCCCAACCAACTCCTCAGAAACCTACCACAGCAAATGATTCAGCCACAGCCAAAAAATTCCCTGTATCAAATGCTGTATCTACAGAGACCCCACCGGCAGCCCAGAAGCCCATCGTGGCAAATGCGTCTGCTACACAGGCCATACCAGCAACCCGTAGATCCACCACAGCAAAAATTTCATTTACACAGAGTGTTCCAGCAACACAAAAGTCCACCGCTGTCCATGCCCCAGTGACTAAGGGTTTCCATACAACAAAAAGATTGACCTCTGCTCATATTACAGCAAAACAGACTTCAGCTGTTGTTCCCAGGGCAACCACGCACTTTCGTTCAACAAGCTCGCATAAAGGAAGAGGAACTCCTTCTTCAGGTTAGTTAAGACTGTTCAGGTTTTCCTGAGTATGGATCTCATGTGCTACGGTAGAAGGAGTTTTTCATGCTAGCGCTCTTGACTTTCTTCAGAGGCAGATTTGGAGTATGCTAGGGCAAGTTGTTTAAAAAGACACATTTTACAATAACATAGAAAAAGATTGTGGCTCCATAAAAACAATGCGAAATTAAGATTGGTGAAGAAATTCTGTTTTCCACGTTAGCTTTAGGGAGTCGTTGACTTCTTCAAGACCCTTCTGAGAACCAAACATGTACCATCCTTAAGGTTGATTTCTGGGTCTGGTTGATTGATAGAGGTCCATCCCTTAAGCATGCTAAAGGGTGTTCCAGATTCCCTAGAGTTTGTAAAGCATCTCAACAGTGTCTTCTAAGTAAGGGAAAACACAGAATTCTTTGAAATAGTCTATGTTAACACAAGGCTCTTTAAATGACAGTTTTTATAAAAGTGGAGTAAAATAGGCTGTAGACTTCAGAAATACCTGTTGAGTGAACCAATGAAACCCTTCTTACTAGTTACTGCTGCTTCAGGCTACTGGGATGTCCTTTTGTCTCATAACTTGTCTAATGTGTAGCCAAAATTTTTATGGATGTTCTTGTTCCGTATGAGAGATGTCTATTTTTTTTCGGTTCCTTCGAAAATCTCAATAGGACTGTAAGCCAAGAGATAATTTTTAAAAAATTGTTGTAAATTTTTGTTTGAACAAATACACACACACACACACACACACACACACACACACACACACACTGCATAAAATACCCATGTGTGGCTCAATAACTTTTCTAAAGCAAATATTTGTGTAACTACCACAAACGTCAAGAAATAAAATCGTAGAAGTCCCTCAGATTTGACCCCTCCCTTTCCAGATGCTCTGTTGATCCTGAACTCCATCCACTGACTTATCCAGCCAGTAGGCCCCTGGTATTCTGCCCCTTACACCACATGGCCAGGGATTTCCTTCCCAGCAAACACACAAACCACGTTCCAGTCAGTTCTTCTCCCTCTTTTGGTCTTGACCGATTTCTGCCTGTCTTCCTGTGCCCTCTGGTGCCATCAAATCACCGTCATTATGTTTTTGCATATTTTGTTCAGGTTTTATAACTGCTATGATGAGGTCTATTTTGCCATCACCCCAGATGATTCTTAAGAGCTGAAAACATTACAGATATCATTGTTGAAATTTCCTTTGTATATTTCTTGATTCCATTAGGTAAAAAGCCAAATACGTGCAAATACACAGAATCTGAACCCATTCCTACCTGCTTTGAGTCATTCCTCAATGGCATCAAATAACTGTGTTTTTTCAAAGACAGTTATACACATTGTGACCATATTTTTGTAACAATTTCATACATTTCACAGTTGTTATCTTGAAGTCTTTCTTGCCATTACCTGGGTATTTTTAAGGATTTGAACATTGCAGACACTGTTCTGTGTCACCATTTCTGTCTCCCTCAAGGCAATTACTGCCTTGAGGTCTGTGTGTAAGCATCCTATCTACGTTTTAATTCTCGTGTTGTATGTGTATTTCCATTAGTGGTCCATGATATTGTTTTCTATGTTTTTATAATTTATGTAAGCAGTATGGCATATATTTCATCATCTAACTTGACTATTGGTACTCAATATCGGTTTTATAGCTTACGTTGACACCTTTATATTTAGTTTGTTACTTTCAACACTTGTAGGAGGTTATTTGATGTCTTCAACCTAAATGGTTTAGGTTGAATACATCCAGTTTTTCATAGAGCATGGAAAAGAGAAATGTTTCACTTTATTTTTAATTAAAAAAAAATTTAACATTTGTTTATTTTTGAGAGAGAAACAGAGCATGAGCAGGGGAGGGGCAGAGAGAGAGGGAGACACAGAATCCGAAGCAGGCTCCAGGCTCTGAGCTGTCAGCACAGAGACCGATGCAGGGCTCAAACCCTCTAACTGAGAGATCATGACCTGAGCTGAAGTTGGACACTTAACCGACTAAGCCACTTAAAAAAATTTAAGTCCCTTAAATTTTTTTTTAAGGTTTTTATTTATTTTGAGAGAAAGAGAGAGCATGAGCAGGGCAGAGATAGACAGAGGGAGAGAGAGAATCCCAAGCAGGCTCCGCACGGCACGCAGCCCAAAGCAGGACTCTATCCCACGACCTGAGCCAAAATCAAGAGTCAGACACTTAACCAACTGAGCCATCCAGGTGCCCCATAAGTTTCACTTAAAAAAAAATTTTTTTAATTTTTTATTTATTTTTGAGACAGAGAGAGACAGAGCATGAGCAGGGGAGGGAGGGAGACAGGAGACACAGAATCCGAAGCAGGCTCCAGGCTCTGAGCTGTCAGCACAGAGCCCCATGTGGGGCAAGAGCTCATGAACCACAAGATCACGACCTGAGCTGAAGTCAGACGCTTAACCGACTGAGCCACCCAGGTGCCCCATAAGTTTCACTTTATATAAATTTGTTATAGAGCTAACTTTGTTGAAATATTTCTTTCTGCCCCCCCCCCAAAAAATACAAGATAATTTAACAAACTTAAACTAAATCTGAAAAAAAAAAAATTAAACCTAAGTCAAACATTGTGATAAAAATGCAACCAATATTTGGGGTCAATTTTCTCTCTTTTAAGTAATTAACTTACTCTTTTTTTTTTCTTTTTTTTAATTTTAACATTTATTTATTTTTGAGACAGAGAGAGACAGAGCATGAATGGGGGAGGGTCAGAGAGAGAGGAAGACACAGAATCTGAAACAGGCTCCAGGCTCTGAGCAGTCAGCACAGAGCCTGATGCAGGGCTTAAACTCACGGACCGCAAGATCATGACCTGAGCCGAAGTTGGACGCTTAACCGACTGAGCCACCCAGGCGCCCCATTAACTTACTCTTTAAATATCATCTACCACTTTTTGCTCATATGGAAAAAGAAAGTAGCTGCTGTCACTTAACTGGGTACTTAACGATTACAGCATGTACCATGCACTTTCCATTTCTGGACACTAGTCCTTATAACAAGCTTGCAAAATAAGTCTTTTTAGCTTCGTTTTATAGATGGTGCATTCAAGGCACAGAGATTAATTTGTAGGATTCAGACCGTGCCTAGTACTAGGGAGAAAATTGGGGGGGGGGGGGTATACACCTGTTTGCCAGCTCTCAGTCCTGTGCTTTTTCTGCTGTGTAATATTGCCTGTTCTCAGTGGTCCCGTGAGTAAATTTGTTCACTACTTAAGAGAGCAGAATATTACTATAAATATATTTACTTGAAAGTAAAGTTTACTTCATTGCCTTCACTTGCCTCATTCACAGTCATTGAAAGGTATAAAAACTAAGGTGCTATGGTAATTTGAGTTTTGATAGAGTCTGCTGAAAGAGACTTCAGTTTCTGATAGTTTCTCGGTCAGAGGATTGGATTGCAGTTTACTATTTAAGCTTTCAAACTCGCTTCTTGCCATCAAGTCCCAAATTGTATGGTGTTTGTTGCAGTATTCTTAGTCATGTGTCATATTTACAGTGTTGACTCTGCTGAATAGATACGCACTGTGGTATATGTCGTTTGATTAAGTTAATACATAACGGTTTCATAAATTTACTTACAATTATTTCTTTTAGTTACGAAAATCTGAGTTACTTTTGAACTTTGGAGTGCATTTTGTTGATAAATAAAATTGCTAGGAAATCATTGACTTTATTTATTTTTTTTTTGTAATTCTTTTGTTTTTGTTTTTTTTTCTTCTTCAGATGCTAACATCGCTGCAATTGGTAAGTTTGGTTCTTCGGCAGTTAAAAGAAATTGTCGTCACTGTGGGATGTACAATCCATATTCCTGGAAGAGAATCTTGTCTTTTAAGTGTCTTAGGAATACTATTAAAATGCAGTGTTTAAGGGTATCGAAGAGAAAACAGGTAAATGCATTTTATCGACGTATTTGGTGGACACCATTAGGTACTCGGTATGTTCCTAAGTATTCCCAACCGTGTTCTTGTTCCAAGGTAGTTTTAGGGCAACTTCAAATCATGTGGCCAGTCAATCAGGTATTATTGAATGCTTATTGTCTCAATGCATCGTCAAGCTAGGGGCCAAAGAACAACAAAGAAGAGGCAGGTACCAATACAGTTTTTAAGGCTCTAGTATTCTACAAGTAATCATAAACTACTCCTTGACTGTTTCTAGACTTCTGTCCCATTCCAGAGACAGCAGAGTACCTTTGGTTATATCCTCTTCCATTTCCCTGCCCTGTCAGTGATGTAAAGCAAAGTTAGCTTTAAAAAATATCCCGTTGGTGTAGACCTAAGGACCTACTGTGTCGCCATTTATTCTAGTTTTTGTCCCAGTTCTTTTATGTTGTTCTTAAATGTATTATCTGATGTTATACCTTTTAACAAGAAGATTAATAACTCCTAACGAAGATGGTAAAAGAAATGTTTGTTCAAAAGCAATACAGCTAAGTTGGCATATTAATCATACCCACTAGAAGATACACTCTTACAAAGAAAGTATTTCAAAATTATGTCCTTATAAGCCAAAGTCTCCTATCTATATATGCATTAGTGAGACAAGGGGCTAAAGCTGAATGCAGGTATTTATTATTATTATTTATAGTTCTTTTATATTTTGAATGAACCTCTCCTTAGCTAAAGTATTTATCTTGAGAGATTTGAACAGTTGGAATTCACTTTGTCTGTTTGATATTTCAAATAGAAATAAATGTATTCTAAATGAAAATCTCACGATTTCATGATTTAATGTTAAGAACGGTGAGTCTAACGGGTGGGCTTTTTCTCAGCTGCCCAGTAGCATCGGATGTAGGTCTGAAGTGCTTATTTTCTCTGACATTCTTGAACTGTGGACTGTGCGATCTTCCAGAGACTTTCTCTCGGGGGTAGTTGTAATCCCAACTTGTGCTCAAAAATAAAGAGGAGCTCTTCCCTTCTTAAAGAAGATCTGCAGCGCTCGTTCTCTTAGGGATCCTAGCTTTGTAAAATATAAACCTAATCGTTATCCTTATTTCTTCAAAGTGTTCTGTGAATCGGGCCGCTTTTCTCATTCTGTTTATTTATATTTGTGCGTTGTTTTTATTTGAGTGTAACAGACACTCATTTTTCCTTAGTCTCAGGTATACAATACAGCGATCCCGCAAGTGTATACTTTATGCTTGCTCAGCACTCATGTAGCCAATCTTTTTTTTTTTTTTTTTCATTATTGCCTTCTCTCCCTCAAGGAACAGGTTAGACGTTTCCCCCCACTAATGGTCTCCCTGTGACATTTTACTACCACAAATATAATGCAAATCTATTTATATACTGCATTTATACCTTTACTTCATACGTAAGAAAGTAAGATTTTTTTCAGCCTCTTGGGATGATACTACACCCCACTGAGAATACATTCTCTTCATAGTTGTATTTTGTTTTCGCTCTTGTTTCTGGTTTTGTTTTTTATGCCAACATTGTATAGAAGAAGACAGGCTTGGGCTTTGGAGTCAGGCAGACCTTGGTTTGAATCCTGGTTTGTTTTGGTTTGTTTAATTTAGTAAATTATTCAGCCCCAATGATTGAGCTTAATCTGAGTCCCGGTTTTCTCTTTTTATGATCCCTGTTTAAAGTCTTTGAAGCCGAGGGGCGCCTGGGTGGCGCAGTCGGTTAAGCGTCCGACTTCAGCCAGGTCACGATCTCGCGGTCCGTGAGTTCGAGCCCCGCGTCAGGCTCTGGGCTGATGGTTCAGAGCCTGGAGCCTGTTTCCGATTCTGTGTCTCCCTCTCTCTCTGCCCCTCCCCCGTTCACGCTCTGTCTCTCTCTGTCCCAAAAATAAATAAAAAACGTTGAAAAAAAAAAAATAAAGTCTTTGAAGCCGAATGAGATAGTAGGATATGAAAACTCCCCGCACGGTGTTCAACATTGAATAAATAGTAGCTTAAAGAAGTCCTAGAATGCAGTCACTGTTGTTTTCCTAAGATGGTGTTCTGACAGTTTTAGCAACTCCCTCTGGCCACACCAAAGAATAAGAACAGTCCTTTGTTAAAGTAATATTTGCGTGTTGGCTGTGTGGCAAGTCCTGTCGTGAGATTCTTATATGTATTATTTTATTTACTTCTCAAAACATCTTACAGTGTCTCTATGTCCCATTTTTTTTAGCGGAAAGAACTGTTTTTGCAAGACTTGTAACTTACCCGAGGTCACACAACTCTTAGGTGCTTCAATGGAGGCTTGACTTGTTTCTCCAGCACTAGGTACTCAAAAGGATAGAACGATTCTTGTCCTATACAAAAACCTGCACAACTCAAATTTGAAAGTTAATGTGGTCTTGGTTCTTTACTTCTTTCCCCCGTCATTGCTGAAATCCCATATTGTGACATTCATAAATTTCTCATGGTGGTGAACAGGTCCGCTGAAGGAATATTTAAGAAAAAATTAGAGACTACCCAGTGAAATATCTAAAATGCTTTTTCTGTATCCTTTAATATCACATGCTTATTCATTTATGCTTTATACATATCCGCCTGCATACGGCATATGTTACAGACTAGCCCAAGTGGAAGTGTATTTCCAAGACTCGTGAATCATCAGTAGTAATTTGAAAGGCATCGGATGCTGTGATACGAGGTCTTCGGTGTGTGCTATTACCCGTCTCTGTGTATGACAAACTTAAATCCCGTTATAAAATGACCTCAATTGTCTATAAGTTACTCAAAGTTAAGAAGTCAGGTGGCATAAGTATAGCATTTTTCATTGATCTTCTTAGGCTGGCAAGAGAAGTGTGAACGTCTCCCACTTAAAAAGTACGGAGGCACAGAAAAGCCATTGATGGTAGCAAAACCCTAACAGGGTCCTATGGATGTTGCTGAGGAAGCAGTGTTGAATTCTGGTTTCTCAATCTGGAAATGAAAATTTAAGGTTTAATCAAGCACATTCTTTTTCCACCAAAAAAAAAAAAAAAAATCTCTTTCTGTTGTGACTTCACTTGTCCACAGACGTCAGTTCCTTTATTCTGTTTTGTTAAATAGGATTAGAAGGAAGAACAACCCATTCACAACTTTTTAAGTTTTTTTTTTTTTTATATAGCATCTGGACTACATTTCCACTTTATTAACAATATAAGTGAGACCTTTTGAAGTGAGGAGACAAATTCACATTTCTTCAGAAAAAGCATCACTAAATTAACATCAGATCTTGTATGTGGAATCTGACTTGGGTTCTTCAGGAATGGAGAAGGCACTCCATCTGATATAAATTGGGCTTGAATAACTTCAGGTATTTTTACTGAGAATACTAGAAACAGTTAAAATCATGACCAGAGCCTGGGGTTAGAAATACGTTTTTCTACAGTAATAAACCGATCCCCTCACCGTTTTTTGGTCTCGGTTTTCTCTTATGTAAAAAGAAGATCCATCATTCAGCGTAATTTAATAAATATTTACTAAACACTTCCTACTATTTGCCAAGTACTGCACTAGTTATTGGAGTAACGGGATACAAGGTGGCAAACTGCTTTGCGATGTTTTAAACACTAAGTATCATTCTATACAATGGGGACCATTGCTAAAACACTCCTTTTACTTGGCAGAAACCCATTTTGTAAAATTATATAATTTTCCTACCTAAAAACTCTTCAGTTAATGACTAAGAATGTGGCTGTCATACTCATAATCTCATTGCCTCATTTATTCCAAGTGGTAAGTCTTAACACCCTTGGGTTGGTTTTCTGTAGATACCAAGTGAATTTTGAGAACGTAACTATTGCCTTTATACCTGAAAGTTTTCTTTGCTTATAATTTGGAGGGTAATACTCTTATTATTTACTAAAGAATCATTTATGTAGGATCCTGTTTCTCCTATTTCTGTATTTCATTCTAGTCCCCAGTGAAAACATGAGTCTCCACACACATTGTGCTAGAGTTACATGCGTTGATCAGTGTTCTAAGAGTAAGATTTTAGTTCTGTCGTCCAGATACTCTGGATCACTTTAAAATTTCCTAGCTTCCTTTATCATTCAAATTGAAAATGGGATGGTTTTTCAACAATTGAAAATGGCAGAGGTTAATGGGGAGTGATGGAGGGAAAAGAAACCCCAAATTTTTGAGGAGCCATGATATATTTTATGAATACAGTCTTTCCACGCTAATGATGTGGTAGAGAATCAGTTAAAGAAATTGATTGGGTAAAATACTGTAAAAACTTAGCTGTGGTAGAAATAGCTGTTTTGTTAAATCATGTATCCATACGACAGTGTGATTGTGTGACATCTGTATTTTGCTGATTTGGAACTGATTTGTGATTTGGCCACATTTAACCTCACTCAGTTGCTTTCCTTTTGTTATCGGTTATCCTATCCTTTTGTTATCCTATGCAATACAGATCTAAATAATAGATTTCAAGGACCCTAGAGGGTGAAGTAGGGAGGAAAAGGGAGACCAAGAATGGCATAGACAAAGGGCAAATGGGTGGGTTTTGAGAAGAAAGATTATGTGTAAAAATCAAACTATAAAAAGTATTGTTGACCAATTTATTTGACCAATAGTTGTTCTGTCGTTCAACTCAAAATAGTGCATTTAATCCTAAAAGTAAATATTAGCTTTCCTAACTGAAATTTTATCCACAAAAGACTAAACACTGGAGGGCATATTCTGTAAGCAAAGTAAATATGTTGTACCCCCCCATGCACAGGTGATCTTACCTTTCCTGTGATGGAGAAAGGCCTACATCTCTTATCTTCACTATGAACTAAGTGGCCTTCCCATTAACAACCACAGATGTAACTCTCACCTTTCTGAAACTCAAATTACTCATCTGCATAATGAGAGTGAACTTCAAGATACCTCCTAGTGCTAAAATTACATAAGGCAGTCATCATAAAATTGGACATGGTCAGGTTGAAACACTTCATTATCCTCTCCAACCCGTTAAACCAATTTTATTTGAGCACGGTGATACTTTAAATATTTTATTTCATTTTGCTTTGAAAGAAAGCAGGATAAGTACCATGCAATTTTTACTGTCAAACGTGACATAAAAAAGCTATACACAAACTGTCATTCATGGTCTCCTATTTTTCTTTAACTTGTCTCATATCCAATGTATTTGTCATTGTGAAACTGCATTGTATATGTAATTGTTCATGTTTCTATTAACTGTGTTACTAAATTTTTTCCTCCTCAAGGACTTGTTGCTGGTACTGTAATTGGTACCCTAATTCTAGGCAAAATTGTCTGGCACTATGGAAAATCAGGGTGAGCAGAAATTCTGATGATTTAAAAAAAATTGTTCTTAGCTTCTTTCCAGTAAAACCTGACACTGTATCAGAAGGTAACTTTCTTAGCTTAATTGTATGCTTTGAAATCTATCTCTTTATTCCTTTTCTCTGTAATTACAACCCTGGGTCAACAGACTTTGTGTCTTTTTTTTTTTTAATTTTTCAGTAAATTCAAGGACATTAACATTTCAAAGGCAAATGATTTGAAAGCCAAATTCTCACTTTGCCATCCATTAATCAAATCACCTTTTGTCCCTACTCAGTACAACTTATGATAGGATCTGTGTTACACAGAGCAAAACCCCAAGAAAAGTCAGACTCTAACATATTATTATTTTTTTTTTTTAATTTTTTTTTCAACGTTTATTTATTTTTGGGACAGAGAGAGACAGAGCATGAACGGGGGAGGGGCAGAGAGAGAGGGAGACACAGAATCGGAAACAGGCTCCAGGCTCTGAGCCATCAGCCCAGAGCCCGACGCGGGGCTCGAACTCCCGGAGCGCGAGATCGTGACCGGGCTGAAGTCGGACGCTTAACCGACTGCGCCACCCAGGCGCCCCCAGACTCTAACATATTATTAACGTTGTCTGTGGGTAGCCTTTTTCTGAGTCGTATTTATTAAAACACACCAAAACAGCTAAAAACAGCCCATTGGTTAGGAGGGCGGGCTCAGGAGCCTGACCACTGGCTTTGAATCCACCTGGCTCTACACTTTATGTGCCATGTGACAACGGGTAACTTCATCTCTCTAATGCCTCCGTTCTCTTAT